ACCTTATTGGAAAGTTTAATGTATAAGAAAACATGACATTAAATATGCACTTTGAAAGACTGCAATTCATTTGAACCATGACTGATACCAAGTTGTCAAATTTGTATGGTGTAGTAAAAAGAACAATGTTTAAAAAACACATTTCAGGTTGGAGACTTTAGTGAATCATTGTGTGGGAAAATAGTTTAGAATATACGGTACAGATTGAGAGTAGAGTTACAGATGATGCAGGACAGACAGATTCAGATTCAGATTGAAAGACAACTTTATTTATCCCAGAAGGGCAATTCAGTTTCACTGCCTAGCTGAAAACAACTAAAAACACTTAAAACCCCAAACAACAGGTAGACAGGTAGGCTGCTGGGTTGCACACAGTGGAGCGCTCCCCATATAATGTCCCGCAGAAATTGAAAAAGGCCTAGGCAGACAGATCTGCAATAAACCTGATAATTTCTTCTTTAACTCACCTGTTTATTCACTGTGCTGTGTTGTAAACTCTCCAAGACTTCTTGTGGATTACAGTATCACCTTTCATCCTCCCCCCTGTGTGTCATGTCAATAGCCGTTTTCTGATTTTAATATGAAAATTGTAAAAAAAAAAAAATGTAACATGCAGGTTGCTCTTTATTTAAGGGCAACACTACTTATGGTAATTAATCTATTTAATTTGTTAGTTACATTGAACCGCTGTAGCTTATGTGTGCCTGTGTTGGACTCTGTGTGTGTGTGTGTGTGTGTGTGTGTGTGTGTGTGTGTGTGTGTGTGTGTGTGTGTGTATTTTGTGCTCCTGGTGGTGTCAGGTAGTCCCCACCCAGTACTGTGGGGCCGTTGGCACGCTGTGCGTCAGTGATCAGACTGATCAAAGACAACAAGAGAGGAACAGGCAGAGCTGCCAGCAGCGATCAGCCTGCCTCTCTGTGATGGCTAAGGACAGAGCTCACAGATCTGCAGCGCTCACTGCTGTTACGCTGTGAGGAAGCTGCTGTGTAGCCGAGGTTATTCGGTCAGCCCCAGTTTGGTGATGTGTACCAGTAACCTTACCTGATCCGATGGGACAACCTGTTACAGCTTTATTTTTGTCTTTTATTTGAACCACTGGACAACATTTTAAATGCAGTGGTGTAGTACTACTCATGTCCCCAGTGGTGAATTGATTTTAAAGTAACATATCTTATTTTTGTTTTTCTCTAAACCCAGGGTCAGTAATCATTCCCTGAAGCAGTTTCAGTTTCTTAAAGGATACATTATTACATACATATTACATACGCACATACATACATTTAAACACAATGCTTTTCCTCCATGCTAATCCAAACCCTTCAGTTTGTCTTTTCTTTTATTTGATTATTCTTCCAATTTATTGTTACATTTAAGTGTATGAAAGTGTTTGGGTTTAAAAAAATAGTTTTGTCAGTTACAGTTTTCACATTTTGCAGACATAATTATTTTTCAGGTCGTTATTGATAAAGTCTGCTCAACCATCCCATCAAAAGGACAAAGTGCCCTCTTCTCTCCTCAGAGGTCTACACATATAGAATGCTGTCTTTAATTATTTATCCCGGCTTGTTCCAGGAAGCAACGCTATCTGGCCGCACGTTGGATCAATGGAGATCAAAAGACGATGTTTGGCCCTAAATGCAATCCTATCCTGAAGCGGCACAAGTGAAGCTATTTTAGTTGCCAAGCCTGCAGCTGGCTGACTAGACTGTTTAAAGGTCTACATGGAATGTAGTTCTTTTGACTGTTTGACAAATTTACAGCACACATCCATGTGGCCTTTCACTTACTATAAAATGTTTCTTCTTTCAAACAAAGTATTATTCTTAGATTGAGTTTTTTAAGCTTTGCAAGGAAGTATTTCTTGAGTCACTGATTTTGATCAACTACCTCATTAAGTCCCTGCTGATAAATTTTAGTTATTTGCTGCTGCGAGAGAGTAAGACTCTCCCTTATAGCACCATTAAGGTTTATTTATTTTCTGCATGTTGTAAGATTCTGTTAGTCAAAGGAGGTTCATCTTTTTTTAATATGTTTACTGCCATCATACCAGTTTCTGCTTTTGACAACATCTCATTTGGAGTTATTAAAGTAAACTAGTTTGACTTCGGCTTTGAGGCAATCTTTACAAGTGTTTGTTGTCACTTTTGTTGTGTGTGTTTGTTGTGACACAGCAGAAACACCTGTTCCAGTCTGTAATTCGGCAGCGATCAGGACAGTGGAAGGCTTTGACACGCTTCGTCAACATGACAGCTCAGACAGCATGGATGTTAATCTCTTCTAACTGCTCCTAGACTAATTAAATCTTCCAGGGCAGCACACATGTGCTCACACATGCACGCACACCTATACACACATTAAAACTCATGTTCTAAATTGGTCCAAATAGTGTGTAACTTTTAACTATGTAAAGGATCGGCCCTACAGCAGCTTGCTTGATTCTAATTTTAACATAGATATTGCTTCTATGTAAGAGAGAAAAAAATCGGAGTAATTTGTTCATTCTGCAAATATGTTTGCCAAATCAAGTAAATTGACTCCTGTTGACAGTAGTTCAGCATATTTGTTTATTCTCTTTCTGTGGAGTTTACATGTCTGTCTGCTTACATGATTGTGCAAACGGAAAGCTCTCTGTATGCACAGAATTCATCTAAATATTTCATACTCCTCAAATGAAAGACTACAGATTGAAAGCGTATCGTTTCCTTTTCCTCCATAATGGCTGCAGATAATTGATTTTTAAAGTTGCCATTTAAAGTGTGTTTCATCTGAACTCATTTTTTTGCAAATCAATGTCACAGAGACAAGCTCAACGAGATGGAAGTGTGATGATATTTCACAAGTTTCTGTCCACCAAAGCCACAAAAAAAAAGAATCTTTGTGCTTACATGTTTGTGATAAGAAGGTTGGTCTTAGCAGATAGGGGCACAAGCACAATTTCATGCCAAACGAATACCAAAATTGCACTGGTCTTCTTGATATGGATAAACACAATTTCACAACTTCAAACCATCCGATACATATAATGCAATACAACACAATACAAGCCCAAAGCTTCTCAAAGTGTGTCTTCTCTTGTAGGTTAAAGACTTTATGTGGAATCCGATGTTTAGAACATGTTACAATTTGCATATCTTAAATGTAACCAGCAACACAAGGAATAACTAACGCTTGGATATGCCTCTACTTTCAGTCATGTTAGCTTCCCTGGCAAGACCAGGTTTTTGTCTTTTACCCTGCTTAGCTTATATTTCTGTCTCCTATATATTCCCCATATTCATAAATCTTAATTATCTATCACTTTGTGTGTGTCCCTGCTGTATGTCTCCATAGTACCTTCTTCTCTGCCTGACTTTCTTCAAACCTTTACTTGTGTGTCATTTGGCGATTCAGCTTCCCTTATTTCTTTTCTGTTCCAGTGTGTCTGTCATCTGTCCGGCCTGAACTCCCTTTGAGTTAAACAGGCCGAACAAATAGATTACAAACACTGGGCAGAGTGAAGCTAAGGAGGAAGACAATCTGAATTTGTTGTGGATAAAGAATGAGGAAGGAGGCTGTGCAGTCAAAGAAAGCCAGTGGAGTCAGAGTAAGGCTGTATTTGCCTGAGGCGAAAAGGCTGAAAAGTAGCTCTCGCAACAGATGTGCGGGGCAGTAAAGTGTAATTGAAATGCCAGCAGCAATGGTCTTATCTCCCTGCTACAGGAGCCTGCTGCCAGTCTCAACATCAGTTAGATGTCATTTTACCTAAGTCTGAATCAGCTTGCCACAATCCGCAATCCCCATTCCTCTGATGCTAGGCAGGGGAGAAAAAAAAATGGATGAGGGGGAGGGAAAGGAGAAAGAAAAGGAGGGTGGGGAGTCTGTAATAGGATTTCAGTAGCACCCAGTTAACTTCCACCACCTGGACTTAGTCGGTAATTTGATATGCCCCATCAATAGGATTCATTTACCTCGCTGCTGTATTACAATCGCCATTCATTTGACTTTAAAATTTATATATTTATTCATTTCTCTACTCACAATTTTCCATTTCACCTGATCCTAATCATTCAAAATAGAGATGGGGGGGGGGGGGCTGTGTTCACACTGTTTTAGCGGAGAGAGAGAGTAGATTCTTCATCCAGAGACCATGGCTGACTTCTGCCTTCCAGGCAAAAGCTTAATGTTTGGGGGCCAGACAGCAGTCCTCTGGGGAGGAACCGTAATGTCCTCCCAGATTAGAGGCAGGCAGTCCTCAAAGCTGCTGCCTTTTATCGGCAACTCTGTTACTGCAACACAGGATCATCTGCAGGATGTTAAAGCTGCCTTATCTCTTGACTGTAATGTTAATATGACATGGTTTTGTGTGTTGTCAGTGTTATCCATAGTAGTTTTTTTATTTTTTATTTTTTATTTTTTTAATTTACTTTTCTCTGAGGGTCACTTGCAGTTAGAGGGGTTTATATACTACAGCCAATAATAGGGCACGAGCAAAAAAAATGTATACTGTATATGAGTCAATTAATGGCATTTTTATCATAAATACACTTCACAGGGCTCTATGTTATGTGTGTTATTCCATTTTATCTGATTGAGTCTCAAATTATACTTTTAATTGAATAAACAGTTGACATTTAGCTGGATTCTATCTACCACGAACACCCTGTTTAGTTTTCATGCAAACTAGGTTATGATTATATCCAGTGTTGACAAACTTATTCAATGCATTTTCTTCCCTATTAAATACTTGTTACTTATAATAATATTAACTTCTGTTTTCCAACTCACAGCCTTATTCTTTCTGTGTTTACATTTATTTCTCAGACCACTAACATAGCTAACTGTTGAGAGAGAGATTATGTGAAACCAGTGCAGAAATGTTTTTTTATGCTTGACTGCTACACAAACAAAATGCCATCCTACTTATAAACACAATGCTACATAGTGCTTGAATGTTTGTCAACCTCACTGGGCTATATTTTGGTGGCTCTAATGTGTCTTCTATGTTTTTCTGTGTATTTTAGAGAGTCATATTCAACGTGGTCAACTTCTCCAAGACCAAGAGCCTGTACAGAGATGGCATGTCTCCTGTCGTCAAGTCTACAAGCAGGCCGAAATGGTAAGTGTCCATTAATAATAATGAGAACAGTTCTTCACTAGTTTTGTATGCAGAAATGCTTTGATCTTTATCCCGCAATATAGGGTCAATTCATTGTTGAAATTTCAACATTTACATTCAAATCGCCTTTCAGTAGCTTTGGAAAAGTTTATTTTCTTCTCTGTCCAATAGTACTGTTGGCATTCCACAAAACCTCAAACACACACACACACACACACACACACACACACACACACACACACACACACACACACCTACTGATACATTAGATTTCCAGAGTGTATGTGTCTGGGTGCATTAGCATGTGATCCATTGGTTGCCAGTATGACGGCTGTCTGATGTAATAACGCTTGACTGATGGATGCAGAGGTATGTGTGTGTGTGTGTGTGTGTGTGTGTGTGTGTGTGTACGTGTGTGTATGTGTATGTGAATGAATAGGTGTGGCGGGAGGGAATGAGGCTGATGCAGTGGGGTAGGGCGCGACGTCTGCCAAGCAGGCTGCTGTATCCAGTGGGGCAAGGAGGCAGAACAGGGTAGCGTGATGAAGTGTTGCCGTCCAAAAGGAGCCCTGACATCTGTCATCAGTTGATGGAGGGCATCGGCAGAAAACGCCATGCATCTGCCACCCTGAGCTGTCTGTGTTTGCTAGCATAGCCCCCGTACCGACCATACCGTAGCACTGCGGTCGCAGGCTAATGGGAAGAGACAATGGGCATGACACCATAGACAGGAAAGATGAACTGCTGTCGATGATACAGCGCAGTGCAACACGATGCAGCTCAGCCCGGCTGCCTCGCTCTCTCTCTTTAAACTGTGTGTGTGGTACAGTTGCAACTTTGCACTGAGTTTCTCTGTTGTTGCAGAGGAGATACATTTAACCACAACTTTCTACTCCTTCTGCCCACTCTGTATTTACGTCGAGGCTTCAAGTGCTCACCATAAATATTGAAAAATCGCTCCATTCAGAAAAATGTACAGCGTTGCTTACAGTATTATATTACTACCTCATAGAAAAAATCTTAATTTGACACAAAAACATTTTGAGCAAAAGTGATTTAAAAAAGAGTGTACTGTATTTCTTCAGTTTAAAAGGCACCAGTAAATGCAGGTACCTCAAACCTTAGCTGTTAAAACACTTTAAAACAACATTTTTCAATTTATGGCCAAGTGAGTCAAGGTTAAGGAAACCCCACGTATCTCAACAGAACCTGAATGAGGTGTTCTGCCTTGTCACTATTTATGATCATTGACATGTTTTCTCAACATTTACCAGTCTTTAAATGTTAAATTTACCCAACTTATCTCTAAGGGTTGATAAGATAAGAGTTACTTCTCCAGGGTGATTGATCAGAGCTGCCTCCCTAGTTTACAGTCTGGCATTCATAGCAATAGTCTGCTACTGCAGAATTACAGTATAAAACCTTACAAAGACAAATCAGTATTCAGTTTTCAGTAGAGCTGTGTTATAAAGCAACAAAATATTCCTGTTTCTTCCCAAGTGTTTCATGGCCTGTTATGCAAAATGCAGTTTCCTGAATGTTGTTAACTCCTCATTTGAAATAATCTTGAATGTCTGACGTGTTAATCTGAGCAGCAGCCTTGTTGGGTCGTTTAGGTCCCAAAGCTTTTCCTCGACTGCTAATTGTGCAACCCTGGTCATGTTTATGTTTCAGTAAGCTCTCATAAATAGGAATTTAAGTGACAGACACAGCAGGAGGCAACTTTGCTGAGGCCTGCCTCCAATTACCTCACCATGCTTAAACTGTTCTGCGTGCTCCTCTCAGGCTGTGCCATCGGAGGCATCATGTCTCACGCACTTGTGTGGCAGTTTCAATGGTCTGGATCTTCCAAGACCACAGCTGACATTGTTTGTGTCCCCAAAAAGTGGTCAAGATGCTTTTAACACAACCTCTTCTATTTTACTTTCCATAAGCACAACAAAACACAGACTGCTCCGAAAGTAGCAATCTTCTTTTTGACAGTTACAGATATGGAATGGAAAAAAAAAGAAGGCAGAGTCTGGAGAGCTCCAGCTTTCTGATCCAAACTCACATAGGACAGGGTAAAGAAGTCATACAGAGAGAGCAGAAAAACACACAGAGAGAGAGACACAACAGAGCGAAGGTGGAAAAGGAAAAACAGAAAGTACAAGAAAGAGAGATTACTGAGACAGGTAGATGGGGTGGAGAGAACGAGAGAAGATTGCTCCCCCACTGCCCACCACCCACCACCCACCACCCTGCGTCTGTATTTATCAAAAGAATCGTCAGTATTAGCCCAGGAGTTGAAGCCTTTATCTTCCCGTGCAGGTGTCTCATGTCCCGGGGTCCCGGCATCGTTTGGTTGCCGGAGGCTGCAGTGCTCGACTGGTCTCAGCTAAGCTGGGCATCTCAGTGAGAGACAGGCAGCAGATTACAGTCCTTCAGGACGTTCACTGCTACAGGTGGAGGGATCTATCCTCTATCCCTGTCTCCATCCCTTTTTTCTCCTCCATCCCTCAATTCATGACTCCTCCAGCCAGGAGTTATCAGAGCAGGCAGAGGCTCAGATTTACTGTATCATGTGGCATTTAAAGACAGCTACAGATTACATTGGTGATAAGAAATGAGTGATGGATGAACTTATTAAAAGGGACTATATCGCTGTGGAAGTATTTGAAACTAATACACTAATAAACTAATGAAAGTAACAATGTATTTCTGTATGTCCGTGTAAGACACCTTTAAAGTATATCAAACATACAAGAAGTACAAATAACGATGTAGCCCAATCTGGGTTTTTGAGATGTTTAAAAAAAAGGCAACATCTTTATTTTCTTGCTTAAATAAGAGGGGCAGCAGTCACTCAGTTTGTAGGAACTTGGGTTGGGAATTTGAGATTTACCAGTCGTGTATGGTAAGGATCATGTACAGTATGGAATTGGACTGGTTGCTGCCAGTTTACTTCCTAAGCACTGCAAGAGAGCCCTTGAGCAAGGCAGAAAATCCAACTAGGCACTACAGTCCCTGTGCATGTCTCTATAAATGCACATGTATATGTCCTGTTTGTGCTGGTTTGCATTTCGGGTCTATGTGTACTGTATGTGTAGCATGTCTGGCAATAAGAGAGTGAAGAGTTGTAATTTTCCCTTCGGGAAGTATATACAATTCTAAAATGATCAAATCAAAAATCTAAATTACATCAAAAATTAAAAACATGAAACTTGAGTTCATCTGGATTCCAGTAAAATGTAATCCTTAATGTAAAACACTTCCCTCTTGAAATTATGTCTTACTTAAAGGGAAAAAATGCACACTTAAAAAGTGAGAAAAAGGGTGCGAATGTTTATACACATGATGGAAAAAGAGAAAACCATATTTTGTGGAACTAGTCAGTCAGAGACAACAGCCCCCTCGGTGACAGCAGGTGCCAACCACCCTCCCTGCGGCCCGCTCTATGTTAGACTGCCAGAGCAAAGAATTGCCCAGCATCCTTATATTCCTAGATAAGCTAATTAGAAAGTCAGAGAGCGTGGTGTAATGCAGCTGCTGGAGGCCTGAGCACTGTGGGGTGGGGTAATGGCCAAGATGGCTGCATAAGACTGATTGCATCAAGCACAAGATGCTTCGTGCAGGCCTGTATGAGCAGAGAGGGAGGAAGGGGAACAGCATGATATTTGAGGATGGTTTCCAGCATTGGATCAGGACAGGAGAGCTATAATGCAGTTAGGAGACTTTACAGAAACTTCCCTAATGTGCATGTTGTGTAGGCTATTACCTTACTAAAAGGCAGTGCAAACAACATTTTCATGTAAATCTAATATCATTACTTCCGCTTCACTATCTTAAAAACACATTGCTCCATCATTTCTGACTGATTAGATATGTGATGTATGACACCCTGGAAATGTTCTGAAATGTGATGTCTCTTTTAATTAACTTTCCACTTCTTCGTCAGTCAGTAGGTGTGCGGATAAAAATAGCTACCTCTAGCTGAGCTAACAGATGAACAGTCAGAGTTTGAGGAAATGGGTTAAAAAACATTGCTTCTAAAGTTAGATGCAGCCAACCTTGATCAAGGGTAAACACTTTCTCCTCCTTTTTTTTTTTTTTTTATGGGAGGAAAAAAAAACAGCAGAGCTTTTCTAGCAGTTGTGCTCAGCTCGCAGTCAGCCGGATGGATAGACGGACAGACCATCAGTCAGTCAATCAGTCAGTCAGTCGGGGCAATTTTGCTTTTCTACCAAAATCCTTGCTGTAAGCGTGTGATGCAACACCATAGTGAAATTCTATTTGGAGATGTCTGCCTCTCCATCGGGCTGCGTGTTAGCAGTAATTGTTCTGTCAATCAGCATGGCTCTGGCCCGCCTGCTTCCCCTGCCACTTGTTAAGCCCTGGCAGAGGGCGAGGGTTGAGGAGAGGTGAGGCGGGGTGAGGGAAAGGATCCCTCCGCCTCGCTGTGTGTCTCTCCTTGTTTGCCTTTGTCTGTATTTATCATTTTTTTCCCCCTGAAAACTCCCTTCCTACCTTTTGTCCTGTCAACTTTTAACTTATTTTCACAGTTTCAATATCCTAACTTGTTTTGCTTTTTTTTGTTTCTGCTTCTCTAACTTATGTATGTACTCTAATATGAATTATGCTCTGGTATTTCTTATCTCGCCATGAATCCAGTGTTATTCCTTGATGTTTAAATTTTAAATAAACTGCTAAAAAAAATATATATATTTATAAAGATTAAATAAAGATTTATTTTTGGGCTTTTTGTGCCTTTATTGGAAAGATCGGGAGGTGGATAGAGTTGAAAACCAGGGAGAGAGAGTAAGGAATGACATGTGGGAAAGGAGCCACAAGTCGGATTTGAACCAGGGCCACCCGCTTGGAGGACCATAGCCTCCATACATGGGGCAAGCGCACTAACCACTGCGCCACCAGTGAGCCACATATGCTACTAAATTTTAAATTTAAATTTTGTATAAATGTGTTTTTTGTTTGGCCTTCTTCTACTTGACTGTGCTGCTGCA